CAGCGCACTGGAAAAAATTGGACATCATAGGATTCTGATTCTTGGCGATGGCAATTTTTCCTTCACCCTTGCATTTGCTCGGCTAAATCCCGAAGCCGAAATTCATGCCAGTGTTTTTGAGAGCAGCTCGGAGCATGCCGCAAAATATCCATCATCCGCTGACCACTATATTGCCGAGATTCAGACCCAATGTCCTCGTGTTCACGTCATTTTTTCGGTCGATGCTTGTTCACTTCCCGAAGGATGGAACGGCTTTTTCGATGATGTTATCTGGAATTTCCCCCACCATTGCGGCAAAACAAATCTTCGTAAAAGTCGTCAGCTGATGCGCAATGCTTTTCGAAGCATCCAACGGATTTTGGGTGCCGGCTCTTTCCATCTCACTTTAGCCCAGAAACAAAGCGGCCTGGATTTCGCATCAATCAACGAGAAACGACCGCTAAAATTTGGCGCATTACCGGAGCATCAGCTGGATAGTTGGCAGATTGCCTACTTAGCTGCTGATGAAAATTTGCTCATCCGTGAAGCATCACCTTTTTGTGCTGAAAAATTTTCCAGCTACGTTAGTTCAGGCTACCACAACAGCGAACGATCTTTTCACTTCGTAGACCAAGCAGAGACTCTTACGTTTGTACGAAGTTCAGCTCTCATCACAACGCTTCAAGATTTGAATGAGCTCGAAAGCCGTAGTTTTCTTAGAATTCGAGGCATAGCTCATGAATGGAGACCTTTTTTTGGCCGAGATCTATCAATTCTCTATCGAAATCCAACCAAACTGTTGCATTTGGAGAGAGTCTTATTCTCCCTGATAGACAGATTTTGTGGGCATGCTTTAATTAGTCTTTATGAGCTGGAAAATCTGCGGACACAGTACGAGGATTGTCCGAATCGAATCTATCGCCTTACCTGGCAAACTTGGCGGTTACCATTGACAAGAACCCTCTGCAATTCATTGCATGAAGGACTGAAGTGCATTTTATCGGATTGTTTTGTTCGAGAGAATTTGGAAATGATTGTAACATAAATAAATTACCTAAATATCTCTGGAACCTATTACAATTCACAGTCTGCTTCTTAAGTCATGTAGTAGTTGGTAGCTGTCCAGTTTGCTTTGGCTAGTGCTGCATCATCTGTGGTTACTGTGCTGGCGATCCTGGTGTTAGCCCGTCTCCTGAACAGATTGCCAGATTCTCTCAACAGATCTCCTGAGCAGTCTTTTCAGGGCTTTAGCCATTTCGAATTATGTTTGTCGTTTGTTGAGTATCATCGTTTCATTCAAAATTGAATGTTTTGTGGAGTTATGAAGAAGGTTATTAATAAAAGGAAAGTAATAATTAAAATTAGAAGTAAAAACTGAATTGAAATGTTTCGGTCCATTAAGTCGCATACATCCCCATTCATTGCTGCAACTGAGCCTCGTCAATGTGATAGTGGCAAACTACAATGTTGTTCCTGCTAGACCACAGTGAGGTTATTTTTTATAAGCGCGGATAAATTTTTCCGTAAAGAAGGTGCACGAATAATTGAATTTTATGGATGTTAAGTTCCTTAGCATTGTTGCCCATTGTTATCAATTAACCTAGTGCCTGGTGCGGTAGATCTCCTCTCTTTATCTCATTATGCTCTCTTTTTATCGTAGTGCACTTTTGCGTCACTGGAGCAATCACAAATTTTTCTACAGTTTTTCTGATCGATGCTTGTTCAACCTACAGATGCTTTTTTTGAGGGAAAATTTATCCGTTTTTATAAAAATAAGTCAAAAAATTACTTCACTGTGGTCTTGGAGTAGCAACATTTGGAATGAGACGACGTTCTTTCCCTTTTTTTCTTGAACTGATGTTCAATTACACTTTCCCACTTGTACTTTTCTAGTTTTTCCACCCATATTTTTCATGTTATGTAAAATCTTTTACGAATTTGACAGTATGAAATGTGCCAATTGTGTCTGCATATTTTTTTTTTTTTTGCAATTCGCTAGAAAACAAGAAATTAGCTCAGAGGAATTGCCTTAGTCAGTACTTGACCTTAGAACTTGATACCGCGTTCCCGTCATTGACGCACTGTTGATCTTCTCCAATAACTGAGCCGACAGTCACGCTACGGAGTTCTGTCCCGAGCTAACCTCATCTACAATTCTACATATAATCGAGCTAGCGGATCGAACCAGCGCCTTAGTTAATATCATGTTAATAAATAGCCATTTGTAATTTAATAGCCTTTT